TATGGGTGCGATGTGTGTTGTGATCTGTGTGTAACAGTACGCAAAAATTATGTTATTTAACGTAATAATTCGAAAACTTAAACGAATGTATAATCACTGCCTAATGGCATGTTGTTATACAATTTTTTTGGTATACGCTCCATCTTCTTCTGAACAAATTGGGTCTTCAATCAATACGGTGGCATTTGATGTTGACGTAACTGTTGATAATGCCACGAATGATTGTCCATGGGCAGTAGATAGTGTACAGTACAGTATGCTGTATAGTGTGACATGTAATGTTGTTTCATACCCTCACCATGTAATATATCTAAGCCGAATACAGTAAATGGTGAGGCTATTTGAGAAAATAATAAGTGTCTGTCGTCAAAGAAAAGTCGCATGGGTGATAAATCGTAGAGAAATAAAAGAGGCATTGATGAGGTGTCAACCGTTAATGTTGTGCAACGAAAGCACGTGTGTATCAACATTGCGAATACTCAAACGCCTTTCCCCACAACACGGCACAGATACGGTACGTGATAAAAACGGAGACATGTCCACTCAAATGGTATATTGACCAATCGCTGGACTCCAAAAAAACCACGGTGAATAAAACGGGCACTTTCTGCCAGTGCCCGATTGTAAATTTTGTTGTGGCCAACTAATAGGCCCGAAAGAAACGGCGTTACATTTTGGGGGCGAGTACCGTGTGACACACACACACACGCACGAATCCACTAACTTTTATATATGGATGACAAGAAAGTCAACAGCGAGCCCAAATCACACCTTGCAGTGTCGCACTCGATCTTTACAGAGCCTTAGCCCCTGCCGGACAATTTGAGTGCCCCATTTCAGCCACTCACCAATTTTTTACCCATTAATCGAAGTCAGAGCGATTTCCTGCTGCTGTTCAAAAGAGTATCAACGCAAATGGTGGTCATCTGCCGTGAACAGCCCCTGCAGAGCCAGTGGTAGACACTCCACATTCCCATGGCGTAGATGAGTCCATCCATAGGGCTAGCACTGTTTGATATCCCCATCAGGTGCTTCTCGTTTTATTGAGCCCCTAGAGAGCTGATGGGTTTTCTGAGTCAACGTCCCAACCGGGATCTATTTACTCACAGCCTTCCGACTGCAAGCCGCTCGCTGTACCGTTGAGCCTTCTGGCCGGAACACAATTGCAGAAGGTGTTGAGGGCTGTTTTTTTATACATCTCCGTGTATTTTGAAATGCTAAAAGTCACCGCTTCTCCGCTCGTGCGTTGCCTTTCAACGTCAGACATACCCGCGACGCCGTGCTGCCTGACAACGTCTTCATTGTTCGCGTCTCTCTCTCTCTATTTCCATGCCCCGTTGGCTCGGTGGCCTGTGCTCGTCCCTGTGCCGGCTCTAAGTGCACTCGTGACGCCCCAGGCGTGCGTTGTCTGCAGTGAAATAGGCTACGCAAAGTGGCCCGTAATTAATGGCCTACGCCGTCAAAAAATCTCGCTGCTTTTGAGTTTGCTATTCGCGTTCCGTAAAATGCACCCAGGGACCTCATTTACCATAAATCACATTCGCAGTGAACTGCCGGAAAAATGACATTCGTGCTATTGGGTAAAGGTGTAGCCCTGCCATTGCATGCGGCTCACGCCAACGCTGGGCCCCTCCACGATGACAGCCGTTCGCCACCAAGTGGTGGTGACGTCACCACGGCACCTGTGCCATGCTAGGCGCACTTTGAGGTTACGTGAGGTGTCAAAGGCCCACTGGAAGGTCCCAGAACAGACACAGGTGCCATGGGTTGACTGACTGAGATGACTATCAGATGCACTAATTGTGCTCCCCACTGTGCCAACGTTCTGTGTTTATCTGCCCGAAGCTCTGCTCGTTGTTGTGAGCGTCGCTCTGCCTTCCGTTGTTGCTGGAGGGCGACTGCCTCCAACTCCCCCGTAGCGTCCTACAGGCACCTCCTCCACAGAGGCCGATCTTGACACCGCCGGTACCAGTCATTGCCAATTCCAATCAACTCCACATCCTTCTGTACCACATCAGTCCATCTCTCCTCTAGCCCGTGCCGTGCCCGTTAAGCCCCATCTATCTGGCCAAATAGACGCTTCTTGGGCATGCGGTAGCTGGGAATACGGGCTATATGACCAAGCCAACGCAGCCAAATCTATCAAGGATCTGTGAGCCTCTCACACAATCCAATTTGGTTAAATGCCTCCACTACCATCACCTCGAGATGAGAGCCCCTCAGAAATGTATTTGGACCACTCTTGCACGCGTGCCAGACATCTCCGAGGAGGTGTGGAGCGCCCACACTTTACCCCACCACGTGGGGCCTGCCAATCGGTGTTATTTTATTTATTGCCCGCGACGTCTCTATCCACACTGCTGGGCGCACAAATGCCAGGGGCATTTGAGAAGCTCGCACCGTCGTCGTTTCAACGGCTGCGCCGGGAGATGGAATCGAGGCGGCAACCTCTGCATTGCAAGTCCGGCGCGCTGACAGCCAGTACGCCCATGGTTTGACATTGGCTCAAGATATAGCGGAGAGAGAGAGACAGCGATTATATTCGATACTTTCGCTTCAGTGCAAATCACAGACGGCTTTACATATATTATAACAGGCAATTTCATGTTGCATTTAATACGGCAAAAGCTGCATCATCTTACGTGAATATTAAGCGCAAACGTTACCTGGCTACATAAATTAACATGATGAAATTGGTTTCATTTCAACCCGACAGTAATGGGAGCAAGACACGTGTTTTAAAATTGCATTCGTGTGGACACCTCCTTTTGACCTCGTGTTCTATTAATCCAGAATGTGAATGGCAGATAAGAATTATATAACATTTCCAGGATAGGTTATTTGAAATAGTAATTAGATTATCAATGTCCGTATATTCCCAACTGTCTCCAAATGCATTTTTCTCATTTTAATTCACCATTTATACCGACAATCCAGCGACCTATCGTTCTATCGCCGACCTCTCCACCCTCTCCAAGCTCCGAGAACAGCCTTTCTCTTCACTCAGCTCAAAGCACACGCTACCGCCACTCCAAACTCCCGCTCCCTCCAGTCCGCGCCTTCCGTCAGACCTCCCCACTGCCGCTGGGACCCCACCGGGGCTCCGCGTCGATGTTCACTCCACTGTGGCCTCGGCAGCCTTCCACGCCGTGAACTGGGGCCCCCCCTGGAATCTCACTTTGATCATCAGTGGCCCAGCCTAACAGTGGTCCAGCCTAACAGTGGTCCAGCCTAACAGTGGTCCAGCCTAAAAGTGGTCCAGCCTAACAGTGGCTCAGCCTAACAGTGGCCCAGCCTAACAGTGGTCCAGCCTAACAGTGGTCCAGCCTAACAGTGGTCCAGCCTAACAGTGGCTTGCAATCCGACCTCTTCGGGTTTCTCAGTCGGAGTGGGTGAAACAAGCTCCAGTGCGGAATCCTTCAGGGTGTCTTTCCCAGGCCCCCTGCTCTTCACGAACTTCACATCTCCCATTGGCCGGCTCGATTGACATCTCCCGTGTCAAATGACATTCTTCCGCAAATGACATTCTACGATTCATGTCTGTTGATTCAATCCATGCCTCTGGATTTGAGTCTCTCAGAGTGCACCGACCGCTTCACAGCAGTGGTTCTGGGTCCACAAAACCCTCCTTGAAAGCTTCTGAATCGAAGCCATCCTGGTCGATGCCAAGCTCCGTCTAGCGGATTAATCGCTGGCTCCACTATCCAATTCTAACTTATCCTTTGACAGCCACACCAACCACATCGTCAGATTTGACAACTGCAACGTCAGGGTCCTCATGCATTTATGTCCACTCGTGACCACCGAAATCGTCAAATCCCTTGTTTTGCAGCATAGCCGGGTCTTGCCTGCACTGTCCTAACTCCGTCCCTGTGTTCTATTTTCGACGAACTACCTCAGGACACTCCGGACGCTTGAAAAACCATCTCGCCCGCGTCGTCCCCGGCGCCTACCATCCTCGGTGAGGTTCCCTCACCTCCCTCCACTCCCTCCACTGGCTTCCCATCGCCAGCAGCGTCAGCTACAAGATCGCCCGCCTGTTGAACTTCTCTCGCACCGCACGTAGCCAACCGGGGGCCGTCCACCGCGTCTGTCTGCGCGTGTCACCTTGCACCACCGCTCGCGGTGGAGTTCTCCGCAGCAGCGCGACTCGCAGCCTCCTCTCTACATCGAGGAGCGAAGGCCGTCACTGCCCGGCTACATTTCTCCGTGACCGCACCGACTCCCCCCCCACCCGCCATCTGCAATGCAGCCATCGCCCCTCTGCTGCTGCTACGCATGCAGCAGCAGCGGCGTTTAATCTCCAGAGGCACATAAAGGCCCCACCTCTGTCACCACTATCCAAGCCACACTGAGCTTAGATTCCACGCCTCGCAATCATGGTCGTCTATCGTCTGTGAATTAATGTGTGCATTATAAAATTGCGTTGCTGTTGATGTTGTTGTTATTGAAGGGAAACAGTAGGGGCAGTCGCCCGAGTTCAACTCGCCAGCCATGGTCAACATCAGCGGCAGGTGACGTCTGACAGATGCGGGCGACGTTGCCAAAGGTCATTTTCAAGGACGCGCGACGACCTTGACCCCGACCACCCATCAGCCGGCGGCCAGGGGACAGCTCCAACTTCACACGGCAGTGCACGAGCGGCTTATTGCCGAAGTTCCCAATGCAGGAGGCCTTCCCCGGTTATTTCTGTGGCTGTGCAAACGGTAAGATGACACTACGCGGCGCCTGCTTCGCTCACGCCCGGACGTTACAAGATCCCCTGACGTCATTCGCAAGCGGGGGGCCATCGAGTGCCGGCCTCTGGGTCCACATCTGCCCGATTTCAAAAATCACACCGCAAATCGCTCAATTGGGACTGTGGCACAGCAATCATCACCCCCTCCTGTGAAACTTCTGCAGACTGTCTCAGGGAAGCAAGGCGTCCTCCTTCGTGATAGCCTTGGCCGAGGAGAATGGAGGGGTTCGGGGGAAGGGGAATGTGTGTTGCAACGACGTACCAGTTATGCACCATGAACTTCTGCACGGCGAGTAGGGCGTTGTAGCGTACGTCCGTGTCCGCGTGATGCATGAGGCCCATCACGAGCTGCTTGCAGCCCAGCTGCTCAATTATCCTGCTCGCCACACGCACAAGACAAAGATCCCCCCTCGTGGGCTTTAACAGGCTGTCGGAACGAGTGCCCTTAGCTAGCACCTATTTAGGACGGCATGGCACACGAGGGGGTGGGTGGCCAGCACCACACCCAGCCGCCTAGGGGAGACGCAGGACCGGTTCAGATAATCGTCACTGGTGTTGGCCGTGAGCGGGAATCAAACTCAGGTCGACAGGTTCATAGCGCAGCGCGCCAACCGCTACACTTCCGCTCCCCCACATTCACACACATGCACGTACACACACACGCGCGCGTGTATACTGGACATCTGTGAAAAATACCTTCATAGCTCATCGGATTTCTCCAGGATAAATAAAGATCACGATTGTAGTTCTGGCACAAGCGTGAAATTTAAGATGGGTACAACATCGTTTCTCTCGCGTAAGTCCAAAGTTCTGCAGTGCGATCCCAGAGAAATCACGTCCATGTGGCAGCTTGCTGAGCTCCGTCGCGGACCTAAAACCTCATTTGTTTAATGGAGGGATTTGGTGATGAAATTGGGATCGTTTGAATCGCTGCGATGATGGATGCAGTGGCGGCAGCAGCAATCGTTAAATGTGTTTGTTAGACAGATTAAATTCCAGGTGTGAATGCCGGTGCGTTTTTTTATGGAGAACGGTCAATAAAAAAATCCCTGGTGGCAGTGGTAAAATATCTCTAAAGAGAAGGATTGAGATTGAAACAAAGCTGTTGAAGGCGCAGGCGTGGAGTTGCCTGCTCGCACCACGGCTGGAGGAAAGGGCCTCCGCTCTACGAGAGCACCTCTAGGTCCTGGCCAGACGTCTTAAAAGAGATGGGACGTACCCACACTTTACCCCACCACACGTGACCTGCCGATAGACTATACTACCGTTGATGCAGCTGGGTGGACAGAGGCGCTGGTGGAGGGGCGGATGGGGGGGGGGGTAAAATTTAAGAAGCGCGCTCTGTAGTTTCAACTGCCGCACCAGGAAATTGAATCGAACAGGCAATCTCTGGAATGCAAGGCCAGTGTGGTAACCGTAACGCCAGCGTGGCAGCATCACGGAACAGGAGTGACGCGGCTGAAGGAGAGAGAAAACCACAGCAGAAGTGTGTTGGGCCCCATCGTCGTTCATGAGCTGACAGGCGGGACAGACGACGAAGACGATGATGATGATGCAATAGGTGGGCAAGTCTCTACAGCTCACGAGAGACCCAGAGTCTTGGCAGGGCCAGCACGCTCATGAGAAGCACCCACGGCGGATAAGAGTGGGCACACATTCGTGTTGGATGTCGCGCCGGCGATGAGATGTTTTACCTTGCCCCAGGTCGGAGACCAAAATTACATTCGTCGTGAGCTCATTTATTTCGAGTTCAGCAGAGACGCTGAAATGTCCGGTATCTCTGACGTAGTCGTGTAGAAGTGGACAACGAGAGAACGAGTGGACTACATGGGAATGAGCGATGGCTTGCCGCTCCTGCTGACTAAATATGTTTTTAAATATCTTTTTAAAATATATATTTAAAATATTTATATATTAACGCCAACAACGGTATTAATGCGGCAATGGCGCTTTGAGGGGGGTATTTGTGCCAGAATGGCGCCACGCGTTTTACCAAAAAAAAAATGTGACTTAACTTGAATCACAGACCGAAGTGATCGAACCGCACCCGCGCACCCACCCCTCCCCCCCCACTCTAATTACACGACTCGTCATCGACGCTACCCGATTTCCCGATCACAAATGCATTCTCCACGAACTGAAAGTCCAGAATTTTCTATTGCCAGGGATAAACCGCGAGTTGGAGAGACGCTGCGTAAACTAAACGATAATACAATTTTATTTAATTTTACCAGGTAAGGCCCACTGAGCTATACAGCTCTTTTTCAGAAGCGACCTGGCCACAAATGATAGCTCAACGAAGTGGCTTATCACGTGGAAATCTATAGCAGCCAAATACTCTAAACGCGTGATGTTCATTCTCAACGTGGAGGAGGGGAAAATTGGAGCACCCGGAGAAAAATCCACGCGACCACGGGGAGAACATTGCAAATTCCAAATATACAGACGTCAGGGTCAGGATCGAACTCACGAGGTAGTTAACATCTCATCACCGTGGCGATACGAGTTTTCAAACGCCTCTTTCGAATCGTCTACGCTGCACCTCGGAAGATAAGCGGAGTTGAGCCTGGTTAGCGCTTGGATGAGTGATCACTACCCAGGGCTTGCCAGGTGTTGTAGGCGTGGCCGCTAGGTGGCGGTGCTGAGTGTTGCCACCTCGCAGACGACAGCGTGCTGGGTTCTCTCTCTTGGTATTCTGACTTCTTCCCGCATGTAATCAAACGTTCGTTGTTCTCGGTATTGGGCAAAAGTTAAAATAATGAACCATCCAAAAACAAAAGTCTTGAGACACATTGAGGCTTTCCTGGGTAATTAATTGCAATTAGGAAATAACACTTACTACCCAGGAACAATAAATACATTTGTTACACAGTATTATTAATGGAGTGGATTATTAACTTTGCTTTTGTGTCCTGGTAACAAAAGCAAAGTTTGTGGGGGGAATAATAATAGCTATTTTCTGTGCTTTTGAGGCATACACAATTAGAAAATAACACTTACTACCCAGGAACAAATATGTGTTTTTGTTACACAGTGAATTATGGGTCATTATGCATTTTGCTCGTGTGTGCCTCACAGTAATACAATTTTAAACTTGATCACTGCCCGTAACGGTGAGAGTAAACAGATTTTTCTCGTGACAGCCCGTGAAAGTAATTTCCCACATCACAGCGGGTAATTTATTTCAGACGAGCAATTCCAATTCTAGTGGATCTATAGTCAATGTTTTATTAACCAAAAAACGGTCACGTGTCCCATTTATTTCAATACAGATCAAGACCCAGATAGTCCACCCAATTGGGTTGGATTCATCTCCATCTAGATCAGCTGCTGGTGTGTGCGTGTGGTTGGAACTCATCATCATCATCAGCCATCGTCAATCCACTGCTGGATGAAGGCCTCACCCAAGCCGCCGCCACTTCTCACGATCCCGCGATGTAACGATCCAACGAGTTCCTACGCTATGAGCTGATTTTGTAGCTCCATCTCCCCCTGCCGCGCCCCCATGCGCTGCCTGCCACTCCCTTCATCATTTCTTGGCCAACGCTCTCACCCCTCGCCTAGCCCGACGCCTACGTCTGTCCGATCCACGCCCCCCGCCCCCCCTGGTGCAGCTGCACTGCCTGCACACTCGACGTTCAGCTCACCCAGACTCTGCGGGATGTCTCTCCACAAGACACTGCGTGTGCATCCTCGATGACTCGGCGATTGGAAAACTCGTTTCTGAAATCTACCCCCCCCCCCACCACCCCCCCACCACCCCACCACATTTTCAAATAAGTCGACGGTTGCAAGAGTGAGATGTTCTTGATTCAGCAAAGTGCTTAGAAATGATGGGTCGTATTATTATTATTACTCAGTGTGTCTAAAATGAGCTTTGAAAATGTCATGTTACATTGTCCATGCCATCGTTCCCACTTTTTTCATTGTGCTGAAAAGTAATTGTATTCTCAGCCTCCATTGCTTGAAACTGCTGAATATATCCAGCTGAGACATCTCCCTTGGAAATAAATCATTTTTCACGACTCATTAAGTGAAATGCTTTAAATAAGCACAAAAGTTAAAAAAAAACAGACGTACATGGTATTTTCTCTTTCTTTATAATGGTTATTCTGGTTTTAAATAAAGAAACAGAAACGTCAGTGAATACTACTGTACACAATTGAAGATGGCTTAGAGTGGTTTATCAAAAAGCAGAGAAGGGAAAGAGTACAAATACAATTTCTATTTTTCCAATGCATTAATTCGGAGAAGTGTGGGTCTGCGTGGTGGCAGATGCAGACCAATACACAGACCATTGCATCTCATCCAGCAGTGGATTAGTAAATGCCTGTAAGATATTATTATTATTGAACTAGCGTGGCGGCTCTGCTCTAAATCGAGTGGCTTGAAATTACGAGTTAGATCAAATGAGTGTCACCTTGTCATAAAGTCAACAGTGGTTGTCCTTTGGATGTACGGGGCCCTTCCATATGAATGCGGAGTTTCCACTGCTGGCTCAGTGCTGTAAACCAATTTCTCACTTGAGCAATACGTAACTTTGGCTTTATATTTTTATAATTTTCAGAAGTGCTCACAACATTTTGGCCACCGAATCCCATAAGATCATATATCTGCTCGACGGTTTTCAACATTTCAAAAGTTGACAGTGATAAACATTGGTTGTTTGAACTACTGGTTGGAAAACCAATAATCTTCACATCAAGTCACAATCGTTCCGCACAATCACCTGCGCCATGCCGTACGTGTCTATGGAGGTGCCCAGGCAAGTTTATGTCCATTGATCGTTTAATGCTTTGCTCAGAGATGTGAGGCCCATAAACGTTCAACTCAATTTAACAAATAGCCACCCAGAAGACACAGCCCTTAAGCACACTGACACATGAGCGCAAGCTGCCACCTGCCTTCACTCACTCGACCGAGTGGCAGGTGTAGCGCAATAGATCACAGCCACCACGTCGTTATCGCGTTTCATAGCAGCAGTGGTTGGCCCTGTGGTTAGCGCCTGGCGATCTGAGTTGGTTTCCCAAACACAGCTACGGTGGCGAGATGCTAACTACCTTGCCTGGTATACATGAGATCGTGGGTTCGATCCCGACTCTGACGCCTGTATATTTGGAGTTTGCATGTTCTCCCCGTGGTCGTGTGAATTTGTACTCCAGGTCCCCCGTTTTTTCCCCCCTCCACATTTAGAATCAACATTCGGTTAGAGCATTTTGCTTGCTCTAAATGTCCACGTGATGGTGAGCTAATGTGTTGAGCTAGCATTTGTGATAACCAGGTCGCTTCTAAAAAACATTTATACAGCTCGGTGGGCCTTACCTGGTTGAACTAATAAAAATGTGTAAATAGTTCACATTGGTGGTGATCACACCC